GTATAAACAAGCTACAAAGAATACAGAATGCTGCTGCTAGACTGATCTGCCAGCAAAGCAGATTTTGCCATATTACACCGCTCCTTTTTGATTTACATTGGCTCCCAGTGAAGTTTCATATTGAGTTCAAAATTCTTTTAATTACATTTAAGGCTCTTGAGGGTTTGGCACCTTCCTATATAGATTCATTAATTAGTATCAAATCAACTCCACAGTATGACCTAAGAAGCTCTAATGACAGCCTCCTCCTTAGTTATCCAAAGCCGTTATCCAAAGCCGTTATCCAAGGCAACACTGGGTGATCGCTCTTTTACATATGCTGCCCCAAAACTTTGGAACGCTCTTCCTTTGGCCATCAGATCTGTGAACACTGTTACTGATTTTAAAGGCAAACTTAAAACATATTTGTTTTCTAATCCGAATAGTATTGTAATTTCTTAGAATTTTAGATTTTAGTTAGGTATAAATTGTACTTAAACGCTTGTAATTTTTTGACCTATAACTTGGTTTTTTAGATTTTTAGTATTTAAGCTGTAATTTTCACTTGTAGCGTGTAACGTTCATTTTTTATGTATTTTAATTGTAATGCGCATTGGAACATATACGTATGGAATTTGCGCACAGCAAATTCATAATTATTATTATTATTATTATTATTATTATTACTGATCCTTTCAGTGCAGCTCTTAACGATTATTGATCTTTAGATCTTAGACCTCCTGATAAGCGTCTGTGCTTTTTTGCGGGAAAATCCATCCTAAGTTGCTACGAGGTTGACTGCGAGATACTGGGTACCCTATTTGCTACTATTTGCCACTATGTGCCACTATGTGCCACTATTGGCCACTATTCGTACTATTCGCTATTCGGGACTATTCGCTGTTCGCTATTCGCGACTATTCGCTATTCGCTATTCGGGTTTTCCAGACACCCACAAAAGTCATTACGTCAGAGAAATCGTTTCCTGGCTTGGGTTCGCAGACTTTATTTCGGTGGAGACAAACGACAGCCGGAAATACGTCTGTGTTCGCAGGATAAGTCTAATGCGGCTACCCCTGGGACATTCAGGTCTGTCCCTTTGGTATCCGTAATTAAGAGTTTGAACTGTAGTAGCTTTGAATATAGGTGCACGCGCAAGTCTCATTGATACTATACACTCACTAGAAGGTGAAGTTGATCAGTTCCTGGCCTTACCTTCACAGAGCAATTGGCTATTCTCCTTCAGCTCGTATCCCTGTTTACATGCACAAAGATAGCTACCTGGGGTGTTGATACACACACCATTTGTAATATCGCAACCTCCATTGTTTGTCTGGCATTCATCCTTGTCTAAAAGTGAAAGCAGGGCAAAAGTTTACAAAAAGCCAGATGTATCCGTTGTACTTATACAAAGCGTTCACTTATATACGAGTCGACGGACTCTACTTAGTTAGAGTCGTCAAACCTTGTCCCAGGCACATAGTGACGGGCAAACATTCTAACAGGAAAAAACAGCAACAGCAAAAATATTTTTTTACAGTGTAATAACTACGGAAACGAATATGATGTCATACACTCTCACAATTGGGTCAGAGCATTCATTATGAAACACCGTTCTTAAATGTTTAGCAAGAAAGTTGTAAAAAGCATGCATGTAGAAATTTTTTATTTCAATCGCAACATCGTTTTAGATCGACAGCTGAGAAGACTTGACGCTACGCACACTCTCAATAGCCTGCGTTGCAGCCGGACTTGTCATGAAATCCCCGATATAGTCCGTCTGCGAAACTGCTCCCAAAAGCTTGTTCTGATATCCCGCAT